TACGTCTAATTTCAGAGTCATTACAGGTGTATTTAACAACACGCCTACAGCCAATAACAAGGGCACATTCTTAATTTATTAATTATTCCACAAGAGACACACATTATAGTAGCTTGACAACAGTGTCCCTCCCACCCACACTCTAAGTGACTGCAAGGACAGCGTGCGGGACCACGGACTCCTGGGAAAGGAGACTGCACTGGGAAACTGTGCTGGCCACGCTGCCTCTTCTTGATAGGTGCAAGCCTGGCCTTCACCTCACCTGGCCAAAGACTGCTTCCTGGTGACAGTCCCACGGGGCTACTGGGACATCCTCCACAAAGCACTGCACACCTGCTGGATGCTTTGACTCAGCACTTTCAGTTCTAGGAATTTATGTTTGCACCAAAGAATGCTGTGCACAAAGTTATTCACTAATGTTCTATGATATGTATACCATTTTCTATTATAGCATTAAAACAGCTTAACTTGAATCTAGTTTGTAATTTAACAGGGATATTTTGAAACTGTTCAATCAATGTGTCCAGCAAAGGGGAACCTAAAAAACCAATGGCAGTGTATCCTCATGCTTGTTAAGAAAGCGAGAGACTCTCTCCAAGCACTGGTATGGAACGTTTTAAAGGGAAGTGAAAGGAGGATGTGCCATTGTATTTGCAAAAAGAGGCACGGAAAGAAACAGGAATTCTTAAGGACAAAAACCAAGGGGAGCAAAGAACGGATGCAGAGTGAGAGCGGCACTTTACAAGGTATAGGATTCTGTGTACCTTTCAAGTTTTGAATTATATGGATTCATTATTGATTAAAAAAGAATTTAATGGCAGAATGGTATTATATAAAAGATATTTTATCACATTGTAATCAAGTGGCAGGAAATTTAAGTTATTTCCAATTCCTTGTTATCACAAACAATACTGTTGTCAATATCTCTGTAGTAAAATATTTACCTGCTTCACTATCTCTATAAGATCATAAAATAGAATTTCTAGATTAAAGGATGTAAGTTTTCAAGGCTTTTGGTATGTATTGATGAGTCAAGCTCCAGGGGATCTGTATCTATTTTTTATAATTTTTTAAAGTTTACTTATATAACTGTATTAGTCACCTTTCTATTGCTGTGATAAAATACCTGAGAAAAACAACTTAAAGGAGAGTTTGTTATGGCTCACAGTTCTGGAAGGTTCAGCCCATGGTCACCTGGCCCCAGGGTTTATGGGCCCTGGTTCGGCAGAGCACCATGCTGAGGAGCAGGTGGTATAGCAAAGAGGCTCGTCTTATGCCAGAGTAGTGACAGAGAGGCAAAGGGGAAGCCATAAAAAGGAGAGGAAGACGAGAGATTTACAGGGGGAAGACAGAGACAAGATGCATCCTTCCAAAAACATCCCCAGGGATCTACTTCTCAGTGAGCCCACTTTGGCACAGCCCACCCAGCTGGGAACTCATCAGTGAATTAACCCATGATGAGGTCAATGCACTTATGACCCAATGACCTCTCCAGGCCTCACCTCTGAACATTGTTTCATCGTGGTGTTTATTCTGTTTGCTTTTGTTTTTTGAGACAGGATCTCACTTGTAGCTCAGGGTAGGCCGGAATTCACAGCGATCCTCCTGCCTCAGCCTCCCCCTCCCCAGGATTACAGGTGTGAACATTGCTGCATTGTGAAGCCCTTAACATGAGACTCTTTGGACACACTCATATTTAATCATAATTTAAAGGAAAAAAAGGCCTCTGTGCCTTTGTCCCCAAAAAGAATCACTTTCAGAGAGCACAATTCAGACGCCAAAATAATTTATAAGAAATTTGAAAATCTGTTTTACCTCAAGAGCCCTGAGCACTCTCTCCTCACTTTAATTTTTTTTTGTTTTTTCATTTTTTGGAACTGGGAATCAAACCCAGGACTTTGTACTTGCCTGGGAGGCGCTCATGCTGCTGAGCTATATCCCTTACCTCTCTATCCTGCACCCACTTACAGATACCCTGAGTAGCAGGGGGAAGGGTCACATGGCCATGTCAGGCTGACCCAGCAGTTCCGCCCTTAGGGTTAGGAATCGGGGCTTCCCTATCTCCCTGGTGTGATCTGTGGGCTGCTACGGTTTGGATGTAGGTCCCTCCAGTGTTTCGTGTGTTGGAAGCTTGATCCTCTGTGGCAGTGAAGATGAGTCTTTTAAAGACTGAGTGCCCAAACTGTAACCCAAAACCCACTTATTTATCCCAAAGTGCCAACACTGCATTTAAAACTAAACACTGTGGTTTTAGTTTAGAAAAAAAACAATTCATACTTGAACATCTTTTGTCTTAGGAGGAAAGTACAATAAAGTGCTTTCAATGATGGAAACAGCTTTTCATTGAAAGGTAAACGTTTGCATGTGGTGGGCCAGGGTGACTCGGCTTTCGAGCCCACAGAGAGGGCTTTGTGAGCCCAGGGCAGCACCCGTGCTGCAGATCTGCCACGGGCACTCAGGGCAAGGTGAGGGGTCCGTGGCATCTGTGAGACATGTGGCCTAAGGAGCAGTCGGGGGTCACTAAGGGTGCCCTTGGAACCCCCAGTTCCTGGCTCACCTTGTGATTTCACTACTTCACCAATCATTCCCATCACCATGATATGATGGGAATGTGACGGGGCTCCAGGGGGGCCCCAAAGAGCTGCTGGCACTGTGTCCTTGAACCTCCAGTCCTGAGAGCTAAATAAGTCCCTTTTGTTTATAAAGTACCCACAGAAAAACTGACTAATCTGGGGAATCGGGTAAAATTACTCAGATTTAACATTTTCAAAACATTATACCTATTAAATATTTATTCATGTCTCTCGAGTGGATTCAGATGCAGCATCTCCTGATCCCAGATTAAAGTCTCCTTTGCTCATCTGTGCTCCGTCCTCACACCCAGACACCGCTCCCCGGACCTCTGCCGCTCCCTCAGCACCTCGGGACATAGTACCTCTGGCCTTCCCACCCAGAGGACACTTGGAGCTGTCAGAGAAATCGCCTTGACTGGCCAGGGAGCCCATTAATAATTTTCACCCTGCCTAACGTGAGTATCTCCACTTCCTTGAATCTTGCCAGGTTTCTGAGCCAAAATGAGGACATAAAATTGTCTCCAGCAAGGCCTGTAACTTCAGCACTCCCAAGGCTGAGTCAAGACAGACCATCACTGCAAGTTCAAACTAGCCTGGGTTATGCAGTAAGTTCAAGGCCAGCCTGAACTGTCTCAAAAAAAAAAGAAAGAAAGAAAGAAAAGAAATCTTCAACTATATATTACAGAATCTTCATTCCCTCAAAATCCCACCCTCTGGGTTCTCTTGGGACACCCCCAGTTCAGTTGCTATGCTCTCCAGCACATCCAGGGCATCGCCCTTTTGCCCTCCTGCCCAGTTGTGACACCTTCAGCCTGCCCTGTGTCCCCTCTGCTCACCTGAGCTCCCTGCAGGTGCAGCTCCTGGACCTCCCCTTTCCCACATCCCCAGGCTCTTTGCATCCTGGCCTCAGGCTCTCTCCACCAGGTGACACAGCTCCAAAGTAAAGGCAATCGCTGTCCTCCAGGACACCGTGCAGCAGGGGAGGGGCAGGAATGTCTCAGCCTCCTGCTGCCCCCACAGACATGGGGAGGCACGTCCTCCACAGTTCCTGGGCACAGTGTCCCCAGCTGCCACAGCGACCCCTGCCCATCACATGCCCAGTGCACTGGCCCCTCCTCCTCCTCTGCACCCACTCCTGCTCCCTAACATCTCCCAGTCAACTGCCTGGGGGTCCCCTTGGAGAACCTGAACCAAAATAGCTCACTGCGGCATTTTGTGGCATTGTTCTCCAACAACCACTGTTCCCTGGGGACTGTGTGTCCACCCCCAGGTAAAGCTCTCTCCTAGGTGATGGCTGTTGACCTCAGGGCTTTTAGACCAGTGTCCTTATGGTTGAAACCTGAATGTCCTCCCAAAGCCTCCAACTCCCAGAGGCCAGTTTGAGGGTGGAGGGATTTTGGGGACACTGCTGTAGGGTGGTGGGGTCAAAAGAGGCAAGTGGCCAGGGGTGTGACCTGGAGGGGTACTTCTCCTTCTGGCTCTGCCCAGCACCCTGAGCCTGAGTGAAGTCTTTAGCTGAAGCTGGTAAGGGCCACACCTGAGACCACCCTCCCGGTGTCACCTGATCACCTCACCACCTGGCCTCAGGCAACAGGAGCTCTTCCTCCACAGTGGGGCGGCCACCTCAGCACCAGCTGCTGCACCCACCTCTGCGGAAGGCAGCGCAGGGTTTCCTGCTGCGAATGCTGCTAGGGCAATCCTGGTGGGCAGAAGCAGGGGGGTCAGCCCCGCACGGAGCCAGAAGGGCAGACACACTCAAATGATGTCACACTCAAAGATTTCAGATCACCCAACCGGGAATTTTAAATCTGCATTCCAATGGACCGGGTTGTTTTGCTTTAGCCAGCCCCAGCGTAATTCAAAGAGTTCTCAAGTTCCAGATTGGCTTAAAAAACAGGAGCTCTGACGGCGTGCAGATTCCAACCTGTGCTTAATAGTAAGAAACCCCAGACCTTCAGTCTCCTGCCACAGCTCGGAGTTCCAGTTTTGCACCGCCCCCCGCCCCGGAGCTCCCCAGCTACACCACACTGCCCTGTGGAGCCTCCCTACAGCTCTCCCCGGGAAGATCCGGTTGCACCCGCAGAAAACAGGGCGCTTCTCCGTTGCGCGGGCGACCCAGATGGGGAAGTGCAGCAGAGCTCAGAGGCTCCTACGGTCCCATTCACCCTAGGCGGCAGGGAGTAGCAAGCCCCGCGGGGGCAGCGCCCGAGGCTGAGCTTCCCCAACCCCCGCGCGCGCCCTGGGCGTCGCCAACTGAGCGCGCACTGCAGGGTGCCGGCGGGGACCCAGAGGCGGAGTCAAGAGCGGGGCGGGGCGCGCGGTCCGGGTCCGAGTGGCGGGGCGCTGCGGGGGTGGGGCGACAACTCCGGCAGGAGATACCGGGAGCTCGGCGCTGGGAGACTCGGGGCGAGGAGGAAAGAGGACCGCGCGGCCGCACGCTCGGCGCCTCCGCTAGTGCGGGCAAGGTCCCGAAGCGGGAAGCCAGCAGCCCGCCGCCTCCACGCAGCCCGCGACCCTCGCCCGCCCTCAGGGTCCCGGAGTGCGCCGGGGGAGGCCGAGGTAGGAAGCTGCTCCGAGCCGCGCGGTCGGGACGAGGGAGGCGGGGCGCGGCCGTCACCCGGCGAGGGGCTCCGACGCCCGCATCTTCTCCAGGCGGCTCCGGCCGCTCAGCCTCCTGCTGCTCCGGTGCGCCCGGGCTGTCTCGGGGCTGGCGGGCTGCTTCCGCGAGACCCCCGCTGGGCTCCCCAGTATCAGCGAGGACGCCACGCTGGGACCGGGGAGCGCGGGTCCATGGCAGGTGGCGGGGAGGACAGGGCAAAGGGGAGCAGAATAGGGGAACCCCGCGCCCCCCACCCTCTGGCCCCCCAGTTTTCTTCCCGCAGACTTTGCTGGTCCAACGCGACTCTCTTGAGTTGGTCCCTGCTCCCTCCCGGGCGATTCCTCCGCGTGGTCGGTCAGGGAGGGGCAGAGGTGCCGACCCGGGGACACCGCGCGTCCTGTAAATGGGACGGGGACCGGCCCTGCCTGGCGGACACGCGACCCCCCGCCCCCCGGCGCGACCCCGGCTTCTCTGTCCCCGCCCGACCCGTCAGCGGGGTTTGAGGGTGACGCGTTTGAGTGAAAGCCGACCTGGAGGGAAGACCCCGGGTGCAGAGGCCGCTGGGACTTAGACATCACCTGTCCCCAGTCTCCACATTGTGTGTGCAGCTGGCGGACGCGCTGCGGGCTGGAGTCTCCGGCACCTGTGACACTCCTCTGGTCCCTCGCCGGGGTGGCTGTGCTTATCCCGCACTCTTGTTCTCCCTGTCAGGGAGTAACAAGACCTGCTGTCTTGTTTGGTCACTTCTTGCTACTGACGCCCAGCGACTCCTGCACTTGGGAGTCATTGGCAGGTGCCAGAAGCCAGGGAAAAAGGCGTTCCTGGCCGGTCTGACGCTCCTTATTCAGTGGGGCTGGGGTCCTGGCTCTTCTCCTGCTCACGGGGACACCGTGCACCCGGTGCTGCCCTGTCTCCCAAGGGCTCCTTCTGCAGACTTCATTTCCTCTCCCTAGGCATGCTAAGGCCCCAAGATAAAGAACCTCTTGGACAGTGATGCACAGGTCAGGCCTTGGACCCGCTGGGGTCTTAGTGACCTCCACCCCCACCCCCAGGAGCTCTTTCCAGGCAGTTTTCAGTTAGAGGAGCCACACCTGGCAGAGGACCCAAGCCCTAATGACAAGCCTCCCTAGTCAGGGTAGGTGACTGGGGGGAGTGGGGGCAAAGTCACAAGCAGCTGGCCTGATTGGAGATAAAGGATTCCTCCAAGAACCGGGAGAGCAGCAGAATTCCCTGGCACGGTGCCTCATTCGTTCACTTTCACTGGCAGCTTCCCACCCAGCCCAGTACACATCAGCCCTGGTACTGGGCAGCAGGAATTTGGTTTGCAGGAAGTTCGGGCCTCTGAGGGCATGAACCCCTGGCCCAGCAGGACTCAGCCTGCGCTTGTGAAAATGGCTTTGGCTCAGGGCCAGGGAATCTGTGCCCTGCTCTGGAGGAAAGACCCTTTTCACTGGCACCACCATAGAAACCTGGGACAGCCAGCCTTAGAAAACCTTTAGAAGACCCTCAGTAGGGTGCTGATGAGAAGGTGGGGGGCAGTGTAGCAGTCAAACCAGCACTGGCCCTGAGAAAAGGGCAGAGGTGCACATTCTTCATGAGTGGACTGAACTCTGCAGTCCTTCCTGACAGCTCCGCAGCTGGTGGAGAGGCCCTGCAGCTTCCAGATCTTGTGTCCCCTCTCTGTGTCACCCTGCAGTTCTGTGAGGCGTGCTCTGGAGGAACAGTACCAGGCATCCTCCCTCCAGTGGTTGTGTCTCCTTCCAGGTCCAGGACAGTATCAGTGCTCCCCAAGGATGTGAGCAGAGTGCTGGGCTCACTGAGCTGGGAGACCCCCAGGCTCCAGGCACTGAAACCCACCCATCTACCCTGTGCCCAGCCATCACCATGGCAACCCAGAACAGAAGCACTAGTTTCACATCCAACTTGAATCCACCCCAAGACCATGGCTCCTCACTGTCCTTTAACTTCAGCTATGGTGATTACGATCTCCCTCTGGATGAGGATGAGGACATGACCAAAACCCAGACCTTCTTCGCAGCCAAGATCGTCATTGGCGTGGCACTGGCAGGCATCATGCTGGTCTGTGGCGTTGGCAACTTTATCTTCATTGCTGCCCTTGCCCGATACAAGAAGCTGCGAAACCTCACCAACCTGCTCATTGCCAACCTGGCCATCTCTGATTTCCTGGTGGCCATCATCTGTTGCCCCTTTGAGATGGACTACTATGTGGTACGCCAGCTGTCCTGGGAACATGGCCACGTGCTCTGTGCCTCCGTTAACTACCTGCGCACTGTCTCCCTCTATGTCTCCACCAATGCCCTGCTGGCCATCGCTATCGACAGGTGAGGACAGTGGGCAGGGGTCACGGGTTGGAGCCAGACTTGTGTCTTACTTGGTCTCCAACAGGCTGGCACTGCCCAAGATTGAATGTTCAATGATCTGTCAGGGGGTAGGGAGACTGCAGCTGTGTTCTCTTCCCCTGGATGTGAACAGAGGAGGAGGCTCCTGTATCCCCCAGTTCAGGCCTTGTCCTCAGAGGTAGGGGGGCACGCACCACGGCACCACATACAAGGCAAAGCGGTATACCTCTACTGCCTCTGCTCAGAAATCATGGGAGCCTGAATTAACTAGGAGTGCTTCCAGTCAAGACCTTAGGTACCAAGTTCTTCTACTTTCCCGTGCACTAGAAACCTCTCTTGTACCTCTGAACTAGCACGGCCCCACCCCAGGCAACCATTGATCTGATTTCTGTCATTATGACTCTTAATACCATTCTTTCTGTCCTTTAACTGCATAAAAAAGAAGTCATCCAGGAGTTAGTCTTGTCTTTGGTGAGTTTGCTGCAGAGCTGGTTTTAAATAAGATAGCAAGATTTGCTTGCAGAAAAGAGGGAAGGACATTCTTGCGTTTACTTTTTGCATAATCGGTGCGCTCATCTGCATATATTTACATGAGATGTTCCAGAAGTCCTTGCTCTATTCTAAATCTGTAAGGTAAAGTGTATAATAACAACTAATGACAAATCTTACACAAGTTTCATTTATGCAGAGTTACAGGCCAGCATCAGACCACCAGTGGCTGTTTGAGGGGGACAGTTGGTAATCACATCCTCTTGGTGACTGTCCACTCTTTGGAGCTGTGCAAAAATTCACTTTGATAAGGGGCTTAATCATCTTTTTTTCCCTTTCATCTCCTTTCAAAGCTTCAGCTTTTCCTGTCAGTGTCATTTAGATTTTTCATTGTTTTTAATCAACCAGTTTATTATTTCCCATTTAGGGTGAGAAAATCCACATACAGGTACAAGATGCATCTTCTCTTTTACAGCATAATACCTGTAGGAAGTGCACTTTTATTGCAAATCTCTGGCCCTGGTGGGTGAATTATATGCTTACCAACCAGCTGAGCAAACTCCCCAGGGAAAATGACACAAAGGATCATTTGATGAAATGACTCAGATGGATTCCTGGGCCCCACCTGGGTCTCCTGAATGGGAATCTCTTGGAATGGGTCTGAGAAATCTGTGTGTTCATCCAATTCATTGCTAAAAGAAGAGTGATCACCGTTTCCTGTTGTTGTGCTGTAACTTTTGTCTTCGTGATGTGATTTTTTTGCTGTTGTGTTCTTTTGTTTTGTCTTGTTCACGACACTGGAGTCTCTTAGGAAGAAATTTTTCACCCCAAACCAACCCAGCCTCAGGCTGCCTCCCAGCTCCAGGGACAGTGCCACCACCCAGCCCACAACCCTCTGCCTCACCCTACCAGGCACACCCGCTATGTCCACTCCTGGCAGTCATCCCCCCAGCCTCATTTCTTAGCAGGCCATGGCTGGGCCATGATGATGCTTTTCTGACCCACCTTTCGCTCCTGGGCTCCCTCCTGCCCCCAAACCCCTACTTATGCATAAGAAGGGAAAGAATAACACCACTGATGGATCTTCCTGAAACACTGTGCTGCTGATAAAATCTGTAGACATTCCAGTGCCCACGGAACACACGGCAAGTCCTGAGCCTGCCATTCAAGGCCTTTATAGCCAGATACCAGTCTGCTTTCCAAACTCAGGCTGTGTATGGAGAATCAAGTAGTCTGTTCCAAAAGACAATGTGTTTGGAAAACAATAACCACATCTCTCTTTCTGTCTCCACAGTGCTGACACAGAGCCTTACACCTGTGTCTTGATTTGAGTTATTCCTGGACACTCAGACAAGGATCCATGCCCAGGTCGCACCAGGAAGGGTCTGTAGGGCAATGGGAAGAGAGGCAGGGAAGGGAAGGCAGGCAGTGCCAAGTGTATTGCTGAGCAAGTGTCCACTGTGGGCAGCTGGAGCTCCTTCCTGCTGAGGGAGGCTGGAGCCAGTGTGAATCACCCCTCAGAACTGCCCCAGGCATGGGAAGCTCAAGAGAACTGGGCTCTCTATGCACCAGGTTCCCTAAGTAGCTGCTACCGCCCGCCCGCTCTGGTACTCACGAGGACCGTGGAAGCAAGAGGAAGCCTTCGAGGAAATACGGGCGTGGGAGGTGGGGGTAGGTGGGGTGTGCGGAGTGAGGAGCAACCTGACAGACCTAGAGCAGGTGGCTGTTTGTCTGGAAACAAGTGAGTGCAGGAAGACACAGTCCTTGATTTCAGGGCTCTTCTGCACAGAAACTAGAGTTTATGAAACATAAAGAGTAATCAAAAGATACTGATTCATAAATGCTAGTGGGCTCTCTCTCTCTCTCTCTCTTTATCTCTCTGTTTTGTTTAGTTTTTTAGTGGTTCTCAGCCTTCATCTGAGCTATATCCCAAGCCCTTTTTTTTCAAAAAAATTTTTTTTTACTTTGAGATAAGGGGTAAGGACTCAAAATTACTAAGTTGTCCAGGTTGGGCTTGAATTTGTAATCCTCCTGTCTCAGCCTCCCAGAGTGCTGAGATCTCAGGTGTGTGCCATCATGCCTGGCATAAATGCTGTTTTCTTGCAAGACAACCTCTCTGAGAAGCTGATAATTACTGGTAGAGGAACTAGTTAGAGGAGAAGGCTTTCTAGTGTGGGCAGGGGGCAGTGTTTAACAGGTGAGAAGAGGTGTCGCACAGCTCAGCCTTTAGAGTCTGATAAACCTCAAAGTTGTAAAAGCAGCAGATGAAATTTCAGGCTTTAAGATACAGGATCTTAATAAATAGCACCCCTTTCCATCTAATAGGTTTTAAACCAAGTGAAAATAAGACAAATGATTAAAAATAAAGATGGGGCAAACTCTCATCTTTGCCCTGATGATGCTAATTTGGGGAGTAGGCTTTTGTGGGGTGCCCAGATATCTCTGCATACTCAAGCCCAAAAAGAGAGTCCTGCATCCTCCTGAGAAGCACAGAGTCTCCGTGTACCCCGTTTAGCCTTAGGTCACACACCTAGTATCTCTACTATGTACAGCTATCAGCAGGACCGCGCAGTGCCATTTCTGAGTCCTGCAGCCAGAGAACAGCCCATTTCACATTGTAGAGCGTGGAAGGAAACTGCTGACCCATGAACACCCGGATAGGCTTTGCGGATATCTCCTTTGCCAATGAGTGAGTCACGGGAAATGATCAAGTAAGCAGAGTACTACAGCTTCCAGCATGCATTATGTATGCTGACTTTCTTGGAACCTGACAGAAGTCTTGACAGATCGTCAATAAGCTGATCATCCCCATTGCACAGACGGAGAAACTAAGTCCCAGGAGCATAAATGATGTATCTAAGTGTGCAGCTTAGATCCGTGCTTTCTAAGTTAACTCCTAGGTCAGTGTTCTTTTCTTTGTGATTTGTTTGATGACAACTCTGAATTTTGGAACATCTTGCAGAATACAGAAGGTATTGTTAGAGCCAGATGTGGTGGCACACACCTGTAATCCCAGCACTCAGGAGGCTGAGGCAGGGGAATCACCACAAGTTCAAGGCCAGCCTGAACTACATAGGGAGATCCTGTCTCAAAACAACAAAAGCAAGAGTGTGGAAATTCCCTTTGGTGGTAGTTATTGTGATACTGTTTGAATTGTCATTGCTGGATTTGTTCTGCTTGGATACAGTTTGGATTCAGTATGGGAGACAGACTATTGCCCACCCGCCAGGATAGCCACATCCAAATTCCCAGCATCTATGAATATGATACATTACACGCCAAACAGGAGCTAGGGGGAAGTGTTCTGTACTGCAGGAGCTAGGCGTGGCCAGTGGACTCACAGAGGCTCTTCCTCATGAAAGACAAAGGCAGAGACTCAGTGTCCTCATGGGAAAGACAGAGCAGGCCATCACTAGCTCTGTGCAGATAAAGAGCTGTGAGGCAAGAAGCGCAGGCAGCCCTGGGAAAGGCAGTGAAGGGTGCTGTCCTAACTGTAGCCTAGCACAAGCCACGTCAGACTTCAGGCCTCTAGAACTGTAGCGTAACCCACTGGAATTAGTTGGAACCGCTGTGTCCTTCCTGAGCATTTGTTATAGCAGCAGCAGGAAGCGAGTTCACGGTCACCAGAGAAGGACGGGGCGGGAGAGGTCTCTACCCCATTGAAGTGAGTCAGCTTATTTGTCCCGTCTCTGACCCTGTAAGTTTTGTCAAAGGTCACCCAGAGTAGTCAGAGAGCCGGTGAAGAACCACCAGGGGGCGTTAGGGGTCAGGCTGGGGAAGCCGTGCTGCAACAGGATCTGGAATTCAGTGGCTGGGAGCCAGCAGCTCCAAGAGAAGATAAAACACGCTTGGGGCACTTGTCAGGGACAGGAAGCAGCAAGAGGCAGAGGCCTTCTTAGTCAAGTCCGAGACTTGGAAAGGGTCTGGTTACAAAGGAAAGGTGATCTGGAATTTTCTATACAAACTCCCTGATTCAGGCTCTAGGAGTGGGTCACATGTTCATTTCCAAGGTTAACTTACTTTTCACCAGGCCCCACAGTCTCCCACCATCTCTTCTTGCCTCCTACCCATAAAAGGCACAGAAATGAGGAGCACATGCCTGTCATCCCAGCATTCAGGAGGCTGAGGCAGGAGGATCGCTGTGAGTTCAAGGCCGGCCTGGGGGTACATAGTGAGTCCACGCCAGCCTGAACTACATAGTCAGTCCTGTCTCAAAAACTCAAAGCAAACCAAAACAAAACTCAGAAATGATTCTAGGGCACCAAAATATCATTAGATCTCTCTAGAAAGAAAGTGTTCAGTCCACATGAACTCCACAAAGGACTCTGAACTCTTCTTTCCTAGACAGTGCAGCTCACTGAGAGAGTCCAGGTAAAGCCTTGTGGAGGTCCAGTGACTTCACAGTCCCCTCATCTGAGTGTGACACAGCCCAGGGAGGTGAGTAGCAGTGGTATATCAGGAGCCTGGATTCCAATGCCTGCTGGGAACAAGCTCAGGCAGACATATCCTTGTCCTTGGAGTATTTGGTTCTGCTGCCCTGTCCCATAATAAGGGCAACACTTCCCGGGAGGGGAGCAAAGCCTCACTCCCCACACTGCACAGCCCTTCCTTCACCTCTGAACCCTGAGATATCTGAAACAGAGAGCTTGGAGAATATTGCATTCATGGGCAGAAGGACGGGATTGAAACCAGAGTGCTACGGTAGGATCGCTGATAGTAACAGGCCGCAGGTGCATGCTGAGCCCCCGCTGCACAGCGATAACTCCACATTCTCATAGATAATGCTCACAGCCGCTCTGCAAGGTAGGCAGCATCTAATCCCAGGTTACAGGAACCAAACTGGGGAATCGAATCTCAGAGAGATGAGTAATTTGTCCAGACTCCTAACCCAGTCCCAAGGAAGCCAGAATTTACTCAGCAGCCTGTTTGGCCCAAAGCTTGTGCTGATTCCGCAGCAGCACCCCACTACACTATTCCATAGACCTGCTGATCTAGCAAACACACAAAGAAGCCGGTTAAATCTGGATAATGGGCACAGGGGGACTCATTGTGCCATTCTGTCTGCTTTTGTATGTGTTTAGAGTTAGTTAAAAACCTGTCATGAGCTGTGAGTGGTGGGGTGTACCTGTAACTTCAGCACACTGCAGGCTGAGGCAGGAGGATCTCGAGTTTGAGTCTAGCATGGGGAACTTGGTGACTTTGAGATCCTGTCCAAGGGACAGGGTTGGGGGTTCTAGCTCAGTGCAAAGGCCTACTTCAGTCCCTACTGCAAAAAAAGAAAAAAAATCCCATAAATGCTGTTTCCAAGTATACTTCATTGTGACCGTTGGCTGCCCTGCCCCACCAGGTACCTGGCCATCGTGCACCCGCTAAAGCCCCGGATGAACTACCAGACGGCCTCCTTTCTGATCGCGCTGGTCTGGGTGGTCTCCATTCTCATCGCCATCCCCTCGGCCTACTTCACCACAGAGACGGTCCTCTTCATCGTCAAGAGCCAGGAGAAGATCTTCTGCGGCCAGGTCTGGCCAGTGGACCAGCAGCTCTACTACAAGTCCTACTTCCTCTTCATCTTCGGCCTGGAGTTCGTGGGCCCCGTGGTCACCATGACCCTGTGCTACGCCAGGATCTCCCGGGAGCTCTGGTTCAAGGCCGTGCCCGGCTTCCAGACCGAGCAGATCCGCAAGCGGCTGCGCTGCCGCCGCAAGACGGTGCTAGTCCTCATGGGCGTCCTCACGGCCTACGTGCTGTGCTGGGCGCCCTTCTACGGCTTCACCATCGTGCGCGACTTCTTCCCCGCCGTGTTCGTCAAGGAGAAGCACTACCTCACCGCCTTCTACGTGGTCGAGTGCATCGCCATGAGCAACAGTGTGATCAACACCGTGTGCTTCGTCACGGTCAAGAACAACACCATCAAGTACTTCAAGAAGATGATGCTGCTCCACTGGCGTCCCTCCCACCACGGGAGCAAGTCCAGCGGTGACCTGGACCTCCGGAACAGCGCAGTGCCAGCCACCGAAGAGGTGGACTGTATCCGGCTGAAGTGACCTGCGGCATGACGGAATTGAAAACCTAGCTCCAGTCCTCAGCATCACACACCATCAACCAAGGCACAGGCTGTGTTTGTGGCACGGGACATCTGTGTCCACACCTTCCTGCCCCCTGGGAGCTGGGTGTTTCTAGATCTTAACAAACAAACTAATCCAGAGACCAAGTGCCCCAGCCGGCATTCGCTGATGTGCACTGAATAGACACTGCGTGTGTGGCACGGTCATGAAACGAGAGGCATGTGACAGTGAGTGATGTGAACCACACACCTACGGTGGGCAGGCCACGATGAGATCACACAAAGGCTACGGGACTGGCACTGACTGATGACATGCTGCGTGCAGAAGCACTGGGAACCAAAGCAAGGTGACAGAAGCTATTGCAGTCATCAAGCTGGGTATAGATCTGGGAATGGCTGGACAGAGGCCACATGCGGTTATCTGGAGCCCCCCAACCCCTGTCCCTGTTCCCTCATTCTGTACTTTATCAGTGTGGGAACATCAAGAGGCCTCGGGACAAAACACTTAGACACAGTAGGAACACAAGGACAATCGTCAGCATGGAGCCCACACCTCACAGGAAGAGCAAATGCCGTCACACGGCCTTCTCAACCCAGCTCCTGCTATCTCCTGTGATGTCTCTAGGATATGCCTAGACAGTGGTTTTTCTTGCAACCAGGCCAGCAGAATGCAGTTCCTGAAACTTCAGTGCAAATGATTTCAGGGTTCTGAGGTCCAGAGGAAGAGACCAGAAAGAGGGACGGAGGAAGAGACCAGAAAGAGGGACGGTGGGAACATAACTGTGTGGTCTGTTGGCTGAGACTTGGCTCATCTCCTAGAATACACCCTCTTCTACAAAAGGAGCCCTTCGTGGAACCCCAAGGCCTGCGTTCGAGTTCTCACTTGGGTTCATACAGCCCAGATGCTTCTTCCCTGTGTCTCAGTCTGGCTTTAAAGAACGGGGACAATGAAGACATTTTCTCTCCCTGATGTTTTCAATACCATCAGGCAACCCTTGGAGGTCACAGTGCATGCATATAATTTTCAACTGTACATGTGGTAATAATGAGTAGGTGATATTGACCATTTGTGTGGGGGAGTTTGTTTAGAAACCCTGTTTCCTGTGGTTTTTATGGAGAAACACTTCCATTCTTTCATCTTGCTCTTTGGACCAGGCACCCCTGAACTCTACACTGGGGTCCCTGTCATGAAGACGGGAGCCCCAGACTCAGCAGCTCTGGGGTTAGGAAAGTTCAAGTCATGTGTGGCGGGCATGGTACGGAGCCCTACCCTTGTTCCTTCCGATCGGTTTTGGAGCAGAGACTTGCAAATGGTTCTTGATTAGAGCTTTGCCATCCACATTTGGTCAGCTCCTAACTTCCTGTAGAGAAGAAATGACTTAGTTGCTTTGCTTGTTTTTAAAAATTATCTGTTTGTTTCTCCATCAATGAAGTTTCAGCCCACTCTTTTCCGTCCTCGGCCAGCAGACCCACCTTTAACTTTGGCACTGAACCTTCAAAAAATGCAAAGTATCCACCTAAAAAGATTCTGTAAAATCCCAATTTTATAGAATCTCAGGATGCATTCTGAAGCCAAGCAGGAGAGCATTTTAGGTTGTCTGTGTGTTCAAAAATGTAATAATTGTGTCTGTATTACCCTTTCAGAAGTCATTTTTGCCTTTTTATCCTAAACTATACCATCCCTCTTTCATTTAAATTTAACTGAAAAAACTTGTAAATATCAGTGTTTTGTGACCCAGTGAAAAAGTGTTGTGTTGTTACCAAGTGGAATAATTAACATATAGAATCTTAATCACAAAGTTCACAGATTTCCCTGCTTCTCTTTTATATCGGATTTAGATATAAGTAAGTCATAGCCATCTCGATAGCTCAGCCCTGAACAGAGAAAGAATTTATTCAAGGTATTTTTAGCAGAACAGTGGTAGCTCAGACCAAGAGCTGGGGTTATCTTTATTTCATCCCTCATGCTTCCCGCCCAGGTGGGAATTCTTGTGTCAGTGCCACCTGCCCATTTATCTGGAGTCTGCCTTGTTCGAATGTAAGCTGCTGTTTGAATGGAGACTTTTCATCCCTCCACCTGGAATTAAAACAATAAATTAATTGCATTTGTGTTTACGCGTCTCAAGACTGATTAATGGTAAGCATCAGATACTGTTGACATGCCAAGATATGCACACATTTATACATATTCCTGTACAGGGAAAATTTTAATCTTATTTGGCAAAATATAAATTTCCTCTGCCAGAATAAAACGTAGCTCCGAAGTGACACTTAAGAGATTTTTCTTTCAGCGTCCAGCATTTAAAATAAGTTGCTTCTCAAATTAGAGGAAGTCAAACAACAGCTCCAAGGCCACAGGCATGCAGACCAGTCCCACACTTAACAGGGAAGAATATGCCACAGAAGGGAATCAGATCAGTGAGCGGAATTTCTGCCAGAAAGTGATGGCTCCAAACACATCCTTCCGGTTTAACCCTCATGGCATGCTGGGGCTCAGTGGGACACCAGGACAGGAGAGGCCCGCAGGGCATATAATCCAGCTCCCTCTTTTCTTAGGTGAAACCTGAATTTCATGGGAGGAAATGACTTGCTTGAGGGTACACAGCTAGCACTTGCTAGTGCCAAATCTCTGCCCCAAGATTTTATCTCTGAGCCCGTGGATGGCACTTGGGCTACTTATGTCTGAGTCGCTGAGCATACTTAGAGGGTCTTTTAAATGGCACGTGGGCTTACAAGACTCTCGAGCTGTATGGAAGTCACCTTTCCTCCCTCTCCACCCTCAGGAGCTCACAATGCAGACTTCAGGATTCCAGGGAAACCACAGAGAATGACAGCAGGACTGCTCTGGCTGCCCTTTGCCCCTTGAGCATCCATGGAGCTGTTTCCTGGTGATGCAGGGAGCCATGAGGAGAGGCAGCCATGCCCCAGGGAAAGCAGGTGTGGGGAGAGGGGCTTCTGGGCATAGACAGAGGCTGTCCGGGCCACCCAAGACACCCCTGGCCAGCCCAAGCAGTGGGCATTCCTCCTGCTTCCAAGGGAGGCAGGTGAGAAGACCCTCCTGATTCTCCCATTTTCTCCTGCACCAGCTGGAGGGGGCACGATCTGGCCAGCACCTGTTGCACCCCCCATCACTGCCCTTGGTTCCCCCTCAGCCCCCAATGAATCAGGGCCACTTGCCTCAGTGTCTTTCATGGCTACCTATCAGTCACCCCCTTCCCTCCCCTCCAACATGAGTGCAGCTACACACTCAGCACTGTGCCCTCCCTTAGGGTCACCAGACCCTTGTCTTTTGAAGAAAAGGAGGGGGCACCCTGGAGTGGCTAAGATTAGGGAAGGAGGGATCTGGGCTCATTGTTAACTCTCCACCCCCCACCCCCCACCCCCAGCTAACCTTCCAGAAGATTCTCTGGTTTCTGGCCTGGCTCCATCTCTGGATGCCACCATGACAGCTGCAGCTGTCTGGAGCCTACACTTGAACCAATCACAGGGCTACATTTGAACCAATCACAAGGCTACACTTGAACCAATCACAGGGCTACACTTGAACCAATCACAGGGCTGCAGCTGCAATATCAGCAGCACTGCCAGCACTCCTCTGCCACTTCCTTCCAGTGTACTGACTCCCTGTACCTAACTCAGGCCCTGTTGCAGTACTTTGGTGTTTCCATAAACCTGCTCAGGATTTATCTCTTAGGTGGTGTGAGCTCCGAAAGTCCTGTAAATCTATTGAGGATAGGCAGCCTGAGTAGTGTGCACAAAGGTCAGTTCAAAAGAAAGACAAACGGCAGAGGCTGTTAGCACTAAAGAGTCCCACAGACCAGCAGTCCATGAACAGCAACAGAGACTGGCGCCCAGGCCAGTCAACCTATGGTATCCAGCACAAGCTGACACTGGATGGCAGTGGCCAGCAGCTGGTTGTGTCAGCTGCTGGCATTCAGCATTGTCTGGTGACTGCTAGCAGAGCTACACTTTGCCAATTCATGATTTACATCTGCACTCAGCCAAAGACTCCTATGCTGATTCACAACGCCTGGCATCCGATGCCTTGGGCCATCGGGTTGATCTCCCTCCTGAGCTATACCAACCACCAGCCAGGAGCACGTCGCCTCCTGGGGTTCCTGGTGCCCCTTGAAAAGTAGCATGAGCACAAATTCTGTCTCTGTTCCTTCCCTGGCAGAAAATTAGATAGCCAGTCCCAAAAGGGCCTGGATACAGAGTCCCTGGTGTGTACAGTGACAGTGGCCCCAGATGCAGCCGTGTTCACTTAAATCCACACAGTGTTTGCTAATCTCCATGTTTGATCTCAGCTCTGTGCTGGGAAAAATCTCGCTACAATAGGCAGTCTGGATCACCATGGAAAATGTCATTTCCTAATGCAGCTTCTCCATAGCAAGAATATGAGCATATTAACCACCAGAGGCCTATACTGGCCCAACAAGGGGCTAGCTGAGAGGCTCAGGAGATCATCAGCCTTCAGCTATTAGACCCTCCATCCGTAGACCGTGAGGTACACGGTAGTTTCAAAGGCAACAGCAATAGCAATAATGCGTCTTGAACCATGCACTCCAATACAGGTACTCCAAGAGCTCAGAATAGAAGTCACCTTTTCTACATCCTATATGCTCTTAGAAGTGTGTTTGACACTTTCTCTGGCTACAACCAACTGTGTGAGCAGGGTCATTTCACTGGAATTCAGAAAACTATCACTGAACAGGGAAGCAGCTGGGCTTTGCCGCCTGGAAGTGGAGAGGCCGCTATGAAGGCAGAAGGGCAGACCCAGGTCCTTGCAGCTCCATGCGGAATCCTGGTACTCAGACTCCACACGTGCCTCGCAGCTGAGGTGAATGGACTCATCTCTAGAATTTCATGCATTGCTGACCAATATCCCCAGCTTGAGGTCCAACTCCTAGGCAAGCTCGCCATGCACTCTGTGTGCAGAAATCAGGTCCAGTAAAGAAAAGGCTTTTCAGACCATTCATCCAATCCCAGCACTGGATGCTGGAGAAGAAAGAAGGAGAAGCTCTAAGCCTGAATCTCAAGGTGACGCCTGCAATAATATGTGATTAATTCTGCATGAACTCAGGCCCTGGAGAGAAGCTATAAACACACAGATGGAGTGAATTTAGACATAAGTCCTCCTAGCTGTGGGAAGAGAAGATTTGAGGCCAGGGGTTGTTAAGACACTGGGAGATGGGAAATGATGGGGAGAGGGTTTCCCAGGCTCTGCTCAAGTCTGACTTCTTTGCTCCAAACCACATTTACCTAAAAACAGTTCTTATTGTTGGGTTTACAAAGGCTCTGAATAAGCCTTCTATTCCACAGAGTGGTTGCCTGAATAATTACCCACTCCTCCAGGAAACCATCCGCGCCCTAACCCTAACCCTAAAACCTGTGAATCTGAAAGCTCATGAAAAAGGAGCTGTGTATGTGATTAACTTAGGCCTCTAGAGATGAGATAGTCCTTCACTATCTGGGTGAGTCAAATATACAGGATTCTTATAACAGGAAGGCAAGGAGAACAAAGTCATTAAAAGAAAACCATTATATATATCGCTCCTCTTTATTTCTGAATGCCATATTCATGGATTTGCTCACAAACTAAGCTTTATCTGTAACCTCAAAACCGGCACTCATTTGCTTTCATAGCTGTTCAGCGTACATACAAAAAGGTGAAAATTTTGGTTCAACAAGGTTCACGTTCCCAGCTGAGGCTGAACCAGCTGACACTCTGTTTTCTTACTTTAGCTCCATGGTAAACGAGTGTCCTTTCCAAGGTCTGTTTAGGGTCATATTGTTTGCATTTTTGTTCTCTTTCATGGTAATTTCCCGAAATGCAGTCCTGGAGGAAAGTCTGGTATTCCAAAGTACAGAGATGTGATGCGCCCTGTAGAAAAAAATAAGTGTGTTAGAGTAACTTTACTCGGACTTGAGATTCGGCATCAATCATGAGCTCAATGTCAGGGAAGCAACAATATATATTAAATAAAGTGTCTCTAAGCAGAACACACATAAAGCAAGGTTCTGTATTGACCACGTGACAAAATTACCATGAGCAGTGGCTTGCCAATCAACCCTGAGCTCCTCTAGGAGCAGTGATTTGGTATTTGCTGAAAGAGTTTTGCCCTAGAATAAATTACAGGACATTATGGCAGTGGTTTAACATGGGAATGCCCACCCTGAGAGCCACTTCCTCCTTCTTCCCTGTTTACAACTTCCTCCTTCCTTTGCCAGCGTGTGAAGAAAATTCCAGTCAGCTCCTCATGTGTCATCAATGCCCGCTCCAAGCACCACATCCAGTCAAAGGTCACATATACCCCACACTCCCATATCCGGTCAGAGGAGGAAGCCAAACCACTGCCGGTTGTGGGCTCCTCTCCACGTCCTATAAATAAAAAGGTCACTTTTACTTTTTCTTATATTCTGCTTCTTTATTGCGCCAGCAAATTCTAACATTTGCTAATTCAGTATTTGAGATAACTTTATAGAACACTGCTGTGAAGAACAAGAACTGACTATAATCTCTTGAATTTCAACCTTGTCCTAAGACACAACTTTGAATAAAACCACATAGCAGAGGCTGAGGCAGGAAGATCATTGCAAGTTCAAGACCAGGCTGGGCTGCAAAGTCAGCTCAAGGCCAGGATGAACCACATAGTGAGATCCTGTCTCAAAAAGATAGGGGAAAAAATGGTCCACGATTTCAGCTGACCAAACCGTCACTTCCCACAGCATCCCTGCTGCCCCTCCTTCCTACTCAAGTCTACCACTTTGACGCAAATCAAGACCCTTTGGAAAGGAAGGTTTGCAATGGAAATTCACACATTTAACCAAAGCACAGGCTCCACTCTCTGGGGTCCACATGTTTTAGGAAAACATCTTCTCCCCCCATTTGAAAACTCGAAAGCTACAGTTCTTCTGTTCTGTAGTATTGCTACACACAACCTCCCATCCCAGACTGGAGAGAAGGATAGCCCTTGGCTGAGGCTTTAACTCAGCTTTCTTGTGGCAGTTTCAAAGCTTTTCAAAATGATCTTTGCAGACTCAAGGGAACAGCTATAAGAGCCAGTGCTCTTTCTTACTCCCTCTGGTCCCAGGTACGTGACATGAAGGAGAAGACCGGGACAGAGAGAGCCAGGTATAAGCATGAAGTTCAAGTCCACTGAGAGATGGGGTCCAGAAAGCTATAGGCCATGAAGGAAACTGTGATTTTGCCTCCTTGTGGGTTTCAGGTGTTTCCAACAGTTATTGTTCGTTCTTGGAGTGAGAGAGCAGAGAGAAGGAGAGGAAGAGAGAAGGGGAGGTACCAGGAGAGTGAGAGAAGGAGGGAGCAGTCCCATGGTTTTGCAACCCATTCTGCACCATTCACCGGAAAGCTTGAAGGAGGAAGAGGTCTCACACAGGGTGTAAAAAAAATGGAGAAGACCTGGGAGAAAGCACTCGCCCTGGGACGCCCTGTGGGCCCCAGAATGTCAAAAGCTGCCTCCCACCATCCTGTCTGAGTCCCCAAGGAACCCTCATAGGTGGATCTTCTTAGCACCAAGGGAAGTAGGACCAGGGGGTGAGAGGTGGATTGTGGTGAGGCAAAGCCTTAGGATAAAAGTGGAGTTTATATCAAGGTGAGTGGGGTCCCCCAAAGACAAGAGAAAGATATAAATGTCTGCACCCATTCTCTCCTTTCCATCTAGAATAGAAGTCAGCATAGTAGGACAAGAGGGAAATCTTGTAAGAAAAAACAGCTAATTAGAGAATACAGCCAAGTGGTTTGGCTACAAGAGCCAGACACAAAAGTCAATAGCAAACTTGACAATTTGGCCAAGGCGAATTTTTGAAGATGGGAGTATTCTACCAGATACCAGTATTTATCGTAAGCCATAGTAACTAAAACAGTGAGCTATTTAGGGAAGCATAGATACAGAAAGCCCAGACGCAGACATATGTATATGTGAGAACAAAACATGAAAATCAAGATTCAAGAGCTCATTCAGTCGTGTAGAGGAATGAGTGAGAATTTTCACACCGAGCTCTTCCTTTATGAGAACGTGTCCATCTTCCTACCACCCCTGCAGTCTGAGGTGGAGGTGCTGAAGGGTTGAGGCACAGGAGAGGAGCGGACACTGTGGCGTTCCCACTCCAGCCCTGTGCTGATGCCTGGAGAGAGGTGGCAAGGTCCAGGCTGCAGGGAAAATAGGATGTGGTCAGACAGAGAAAGCAGAAGCAGAGCCGGGAACCTGATGCCCTGGCTCCTAACTCCTTCATAAGCACCTCATGCAGGACTTAAGAGAAACTCTCCTGTGAAAGACCAGAAGGCTGAAGGCTGGTCCATGGAGACTCTAACCATGCCCAGTCAAATGTTATCTTAGTCCATTTGATGTTGCTATAACAGAAAGCCAGAGACTGGATAATTTGGGAAAAAAATTTATTTCTTTCTATTCTGGAGGCCAGGAAACCCATAGTTGGGGAAGGGGTACATCTGGGGAGTG